TATACTGTAACAGAAGACAGATCACGGAAGGAGACTATAGGATTTTCAGCAGAGTATCCAATTATTCCTCCTGCTGGAGTGCCTAGCACTAGAAATTTTGGGCATACATATATGTATACATGTATATATACATATATTTTGAATATAATTACAAAATATTTTTTTTTATTCCAAAGCAGAAAAAATAATCTACAGTAAATATTTTCTGGAAGAAAAAAAAATACAAATCTGCCTATGACACTTATGCAACTTTGTTTAATCACTGAACTACTCTCATTTTCCCACTGCAGCCACACCTGTGCTGAAACGTGGGGCTAAGCATCAATATGATCAACATAACATTGGAAACTCACTGACATTCATCCTGCAGTTTGTACCACAAGCAGCAAAGAAAGTGCTACATTTAGTCAAAGATGGAAAAGCTGAATTTATATTATTTGCTGTTTTTAGGGTTGGTATTTTCATTGCCCACACCGGAGTGGAGGAGAAAGAAGGCCCCAATGCTAGGTAGGAATACAGCTCCCATTTCATAGAGTACCCATGTTTTTCAATTTGAGACTTACATCAGCCTCGTGAAGGCTGACATATGACAGCTGAATGTGCTTATTGGAAGGAAGCAGATAAAAGAGTCATTTGAAAAAATAGCCTAAGACTTTTAGACAGGTTTTATATCTTGAAAAAAATGATGACAAAATACAATGGATCCTTGATAACCCATCTCAGTGTCTGAAGCCCTCAATGCAAAGAATATAATTCATCACGTCTAACCTAAACCGTTTTTGCTTCAGAATAACCCATCTCTTCTTAACGAGTTTCTGGTGAAATGGTAGTGAAGCATCTACTTTATTTTAATGGTGCATATATAATGAATATATATATATATATATATATGTATGTATATATATATATATAAGATGAATCCTGCTTCAATACAAGCAACAGCGCTTTGTCTTCCTGGGGATTATCCAGGGTGTGTCAGGCTAACAGGTAAATTTGCTGGTGCAAAGAGCCATGCAAAAAGCTTGGTCTCCTCGCATATTTTTAAGTTGACACCAAAGACGTTCTCTCATAGAGAAGTTTAAATAGTTGCATATATAATAATGGCACAGTGTATGTTTTGGCATTTTAAAATAAAACTGTCACACAGTTTTAAAAGTATCCAATGGAATTTAAGTAATTATTTTGATAGCCACAATATTTATTTCTTAAAAATGAACAGAGAGAACTCTCATATGGTTTCTTTTTACTCTTTGAACTTGAGTATAAATCTACTCACCTCACAGAATTTTATTCTAATGTGACATGTTTCCATGCCTGAAAGATACTCATCATTTATTATCCAACATACTTCTCTGAAATAAAAATATACAAGTAAATGGTAATTTTAAAAGAATATTCTTTGACCAAAATATTCTGAGCACTTAAAAAAATTTCATGTGGACATTTACTACACAGCTAATCAAAACAACATATGTGTATTACAAATTTTGAAAAATCATTACTGAACAGTAAAATCTTAGAAAGGAGATATGCCTCTTGAGTGAAAGTGGTTTATTTTTTCCCCCAATTACTTTATATTTTAGTGACTGGGAAGTTATTTATCAGAATGAACAGAACTGGATAGAAATTAACTACAAAAAGAAAAGTTATTGACCACATATCTGCATACAGTTAATTTAAATCTAATGAGAACATAGAGAAATAAACAAGTAGCAAAGAAAGTGATGCATACCAGCAAGCAAAACACACTGAGGTAATAAAAATGAATATGGATTTGGAATGTCAAATGATACCTTTTTGCAAAAGTTAACGAAAGTGTCTTCCAAATGAATGAGAAAATAGAAAGCACCAACTTTCCTATAATGCGTGATCTTTCTACATCAAGAGGGGACATTGATCTGAAGGAAATGAACAGAACTTTTTACACACACACACTCTCGCCCTCGTTGCGATCTGCCACTGAGGCCTCACCAAGCTCGTCTCCTTTCTGGGTAGGAGAAACGGAGACGAGTGCACTTCGGAGAAGAGTATTTCTCAGCAGACGTTTTCTTTCTGACAAATCCTGAAAACTATCATTCTCTTTTGTGTGGATGTGTACGTCACGGACCTCGATGCTAAGTTTGCAGCCTGGATACAGCAAGGCGCCTGGCCTGCGGTGTTGCTTGCAGACGTCTCCCTGCTTAGTTCTCATAAACATTCCTTGAGGCACAATGTATACTCTGATGATGGTTGGAGAATGGAACAGACAAGGGTGTTCACAAGAAAACCGTACCACTCTTGCTGACCACCTACGGACATCTGAATTAGGGAAACCCCAAGACTGGGCCAAAGACCCCATTTCTAGCATCACACTCTGCCCTTGAAAGAAGTAAGTGTAGAGAGAAGGGGAGAAGCCCCAGGGGATGTTTAAAGAGGCTTCTTCAAGCCCGATATTTTGTTTTACTTTTCAATAATTATTTACTTGGCTGAGCCAGGTCTTGGTTGAGGCATGTGGGATCTTCGATCCTCGTTGCAGCGTGCAGAATCTTAGGTGCAGCACGTGGGATCTAGCTCCCTGACCAGGGATCTAACCGGAGGCTCCCTGCACTGGGAGCTCGGAGTCTTAATCTCTGGCCAACAGGGAAGTTCCGAGCCCAGTGTTTTAAACTGTGCTTGTCTGTGTGTTGAAGATGTGGTTTCACAGAAGACTCAAACTGGGAAACGTTTGCACTTTTCTGTGAAGTGGAAGAGATAATGCAAAGCAGGTGCAAAAAGAGAACGGGCAGGTACCATCACAAAGGCACATTCTCAGGCAGCTCAACTAATAAGCCTGTGGAAACTGGAGATCCAGAAGACCATTCCTCTGCCACTATCCAAGGCATGTCCCCCAGTTTTAAGACCACTGTTATGGATCACCCACTTCACTACTTCTTTTCATGAGAAAAAAAAGATAGATTCTTTTTGAAACCTCACTTCCTTCTTCTTGGGGCATTTGAAACATCATATCACTTAATTTTTATGAGAACCCTCTAGGGTGGGTTTTATTATACCCATTTTACAGATGGGAAAATATCAAACTGGGTTAGACAACTTGTCCAAATAGTAAGTTGAATAGTAGTATTTGAACCCAAGTCATCTGCCATCAAAGCTCGTAAGAGTTCTCATTCCTAAGTTCACTTTTTTTTGCTTTCTTATACCCCTTCTAATAAATCAAGCCCTATGTCATATTACAATAAAATATAATATTGCCTACAATTTATTAACTGATCGCTTGTGGGCCAGAAAGTATGCTGTTTTACATACACGAGAGCCTTTCAATGCTCAACACCACAGACGAAGCTTGATCACCCCCATTTTGCAGGTTATTGAAAGTAGGACTAACAGGCAGCTTATTCAAAGTAATACCACTAATGTAACTGGTGGTGAGCTGAGATCCAAAGCTAGGTCTGTTTGACTTCAACATGCTCTTAACTATTGTGATCAACTGCTCTCAGAACAACAGGTCCTCTCAAGTATAGACTGAATGATGGAAGAGGAGGACACAGACTCCTCTGTCCACAAAGGGCAGGTGGGTAACAGGACCGCGCAGAGCAAGTGCGGTGTTACACGGTGGAGACCGGAGCGTGCTGAGAAATGGGTCTCCTTGCCGGCACGCAGCACAGCATGGCCTAGCACCTGCCTCTGTGTGCACCCAGGGGCCCAGGCCTGCTAATTGTTCCAGAGGGTCTAAAAAGCAGAATTTCATGTGAAATCTTATGTGTTAAATGCTGGCAATCAACTGAGAAACAAATACTGGGTGTATATACACATACACACATATATATATTAACTGATATTTAAAATATGCAGACCACATTCCAGGTAGGCTAACTGCAGTTCACGGACCACCATGTTACAACTTCTGGGGTAAAGAGTACATGGTGGGCTATGCATCCTGTTGAGAAGTTCATCGCTCTACTTAAAAACCTCTAGATCATCAGTTCTCCTTCTTATTTCCTTTAACGAAGATCACAGCACTGCTGACTCCTGCTGATTTTAGGGCCTTCAGGAATGTTCAGCGTCAGTAATTCTCTATCCCTTCAGAACTGTATCCAGCAACATCCCCACATAGAAAACGAGGTGGGAAAACACACCTGGGAAGACCTCAAGCGCTGCAAGGAGGTCCGAAGGCTGGGAAGCTGGTCCACATGCTTCCTGAGAAGCTGCACCTCAGACCTGATCTCCAGCTTCCCCCTCTCAGTCCCCCATACTGAGCCTCCCACATCCTCACCCCTCCCCTCTCAGTCCCCTGTAATGAGCCCCTCACAGCTTCACCCCTCCCCTCTCAGTCCCCTGTACTGAGCCCCTCACATCCTCACCCCTCCCCTCTCAGTCCCCTGTACTGAGCCCCTCACATCCTCACCCCTCCCCTCTCAGTCCCCTGTACTGAGCCCCTCACATCCTCACCCCTCCCCTCTGTCACCCTACTGATCCCCTCACAGCCTCACCCCATCCCCAGTCCAATGAATGCTCACTTTTGCTGACTGTCCATGCTGTGTTCATGCCCATCCTCCCAGAGTTCCATCTGTGCCCACCCCACCTCTGACGGGTGCCCACCCCACGGTCAGCCAGGGAAGTCTTGTTGGCAACCAGAGCTCTAGAAGCTCTGCCCTGTAGAAAGTTGTGATGCTCTTTAGGCAGGAACAATACTGGTGCGCAGGACTCTTTTCCCAGGATGGCAGGTTCCATCAGCTGAAGCTGCTACTTGCATTCTTCTGAAACCACACTTTCTTTTGGTTGGTAATTCCACTAAGGGGCTTCCTCTTAAACAAATGTAATAACAGACTTCCTAAGTGTGAATGCAACCTGCATTGGAATAGTAAATCACGTTCTGATTACGTGTTCAAACGTATTTCCTTAATTCTTAATGCATTACCAATGCAGTCCAGCATTCCCCCCACCCTATGCTATCAAGGCCAATGAGGCAAACACTCTGAATACACCACTGTGAAATGTAATCTTATTTTCAAGGAATCAATTACTTATATTCGCTGGTGTAGGTGGTGAGCTCACTGTCGTTGTGCGTCCACTTGAACTCCAAAGGCCAGCTCCCTTCCGCAAGGCAAGTGAGCACGAGGCGGTTCCCTTCCAAGTGGATCTGCGGAAGGCCTGGCTCTGTTTTAAAGTACGGCACAACGTCATCTGAAATATTAAAGAAAAGAGAGAGAGAAAGGAAAAAAACTGAATGGAGTACACATGAAAATGGCATTCATCCAATTAAACAGTCACTGTATTTAAGGAGACCTAATTTTAAAAAGTAGAAATGGTGGCCATTTGGCCCAATTAAGTAGCAAATTATCCTTCACCCCCTAGAAACATGCAGTCCCCTAGGTAATATTTCAGAAGGCTGATGTTCTATGACAGGACCATCTTAAAGCACCTGACAAGCTAATCTAAGTTACTTCCATTCATGATTAACACTTACTTATCACACACCAAGCAATCTCTGCTGCTGCAAGCCTTTGTTTTAACACGGCACTGTGCTGTCACAGTGGGCTTCTCTGGTGGCGGTGATAAAGAATCCACCTGCTGACGCAGGGGACTCGGGTTCCATCCCTGCGTCGGAAAGATCCCTTGGAGAAGGACATGGCAACCCACTCCAGCATCCTTGTCTGGGAAATCCCAGGGACAGAGGGGCCTGGCAGGCTGCAGTCCATGGGGTTGCGAACACTTGGACACAACTCAACGATTAAACAACAGCACACTCTCAAAGCACGACAGTCAAGGTTACATACCTTGGTTCTAAAAGAAAAATACAACCTTCACTTAGTTGAAAAAAAAAAGTAGGATAAGCAATATTAAGCTGCAGACATAAACGACATGACTCTCAGGCCAGCTTTCGTCTCACACGCGCGCTGCATCTCACAGTGACTTCCAGGGGCCGCCACACCGAAGCCCGTGTGTGTTCACACGGAGGAGCGACTCGCAGCGACTGTGACGGGCCCAGTGCCGCCGCGTACAGCACACGGCACCACGGGGGGGTCCCACAGACGTGTGTGCAGTGAGAGAGCCAGTCACGAAAAGGAGCACGGCGTAGCCTACCACGCAGAAGCTCCCAGAGTTCACACCCGGGCGAGCCAGGCCTGCGCTGCTGAGGGGAGCAGAGCAAGCACAGATGCCTCTGGGAGAAGGGGGTGCGGGGGGCGCAGGCAGCTGTGGAGAGCACGCCAAGATGTGGGCACACAGGCCCTCTCACTGTGAGAACTCAGAAAGTCATTCTGTCTGCCTCGTGCCGTTTTTGTACGATGCTTCCTTAATTTGAAAAAACAAAACAAAACACAGGAGACTTGCTTCCAGGGCTAGCTCCCTGATTCTCTACGTGGTCCTGGTCAGGACATGTGGATTTCTGCTTCTTCATCAGTAAAACAAGGAGAATTAAGGCCCTCTCATTTTCCTAATAAAAGCCCTGGGGCACAGCCGCATCATCTGTCCTTCAGGCCCCCTACCCCCGCGACTCAGTGAGGCGCACGCTGGCACGCTTTGCTGTGACTTTTGAACCTGGAGAAGCCCTTTCTGCCTCAGGGAGCCTTTCGTGCTCCTTCCCCACCCTGGGTTCTCCCCCGAAGCACACTGATGAATTCCCATCCTCCAGGTTCACAGAGCTCCTCCCACCCACACGCCCTAACAATCCCTGACTTACACCCAGATTCCCCTACCCTGTATTAATCATGTCAGAGTTCTGAGACTGATGCCAGGAGAAGAGTATAAATATTTGTTCAATGAATAAATATAATAATGATACAAATAACAGCAACAGCTAGGATTAACTTGTGTCTACCGTGCTGGAAACTGTTCCAAGTGTTTTATATGCATTACCTGATTTAATTCTCACAGAAGCCCTCTAAAATAGACATCGTCATTATACCCACTTTACACATGTGTAAAGAGACGCAGAGGGAAACTGATTTGTCCAAAGCCACCGAGACGGTATGTGGCAAAATCATGATTTAAGCTCCAGGTAATATGTTCCAGGGGCTTCCAAGATGGCACTAGTGGTAAAGAAACCCTCCTGCCAACGCAGGGGACATAAGAGACACAGGTTTGATCCCTGAGTCAGGAAGATCCCCTGTAGGAGGGCATGGCAACCCACTCCAGTGTTCTTGTCTGGAGAATCCCTGGCAGGCTACAGTCCACGGGGTCGCAAAGAATCAGATACGCATACAGTCTGTTCCAGAATCCAGCTACTCTCTATATCATAGCGCTAAATGTCACAGATTTCTCAATAGAGAAACCTTCTCAAGAATCCCTACCTTAACTTCAAATTTTTGATAAATTTGTAGAATTACAAAACTGAACTTTTAAATTACTGTATTTTTCAAATGAAGCATATTAAATATCAAATATGCATATCAAGTAGCATATTAACAGTGCTAAAATTGAGAGTATATTTTTACATTAAATTGTATATGTTTAGCCGGTTTCCTCTGTACTAAGTATATAAATTTAAATACACAGAGTTTATTTTGCCATTGTGCTGACTACTGTATTCCATAACTGGTATATTGGTAATACAATACTACCAGCTTCTTACTGGTATTTATTCAAATAAATAAATGCTAAATTGCATCAGTGAGTGCAGTGAGAGTCTATAATAAGGAGATTTAAGCTAGTCAGTGAGATGCCAGACAGGAGCTAACAGTGAAAAGATCAGTAGTTTTCAAATACTCAAACAACATGTGCAAAGGCCCTGGGGTGGCAGCAAGCATGGCAGATACCACTGGAAAGCACAGAAGATTGAAGGCAAGCCGCTCTGTAGGTTCAGAGAGGGTGATGGAAGCAGGCAAGGCAAACACATACCTTCTTCCCACATCATCCTCGTGCGGGTCTCAATGGCGCCCACTACACGTTCAGAAGCCTTCTCGTGTGAATGATGACTTATAGGACCACCCTGTTTCTAGGCCTTGGTCTAAAGTACTGTCAGTATAATTATGACGATGATGATTGTTATTTGCCCAAAAGGACAGCAGAAAGGCTGTGAAGGGGCTGTGCAGTTAGACGTCCACTCTGGCTGCAGTGTGGAGAAGGAGTGGAGAGAGCCAGAGCCGTGGGGGCAGAGCAGGCAGGAGGTCCCTGCGATAACCCAGGAAATGCTCTGAAAGGTGACGGCAGGCTGGGTCAGGGCACAGGGCTGACCGCGCTGGTGGAGACTGGAAGACGTGGATCGCTCGAAATCAAGATTCAGGTGGCAAAAGAGACGACGACGGACCGAATTCGGGGTGAAGGAGAGAGGGGTGTCCAGAAGGAGACTTGGATCTCTGACTCGCACCACTCCCTGTTCAAGAACCACACACTGACTCTGTCACCAGCATTGACAGGGCACGCGTCCTGCCCCGTCAGAGGTCACAGCCTCAGTCCAGCGCAGGAGCCGGGGTGCTGAAGTGTCCGACACCGCGACCCTAACCTAACTCAAGGGCTGGAGCAGTCAACCTTCGTCCCAGCCCCAGAGCCCCATGGTTTCTGCCACACATCAGCTACCCTAGGTTACAATTCAAGCAGATTGTAGGCTCTGATTGTCAACTGTGTGTCCAATTTCCTTTTTTTGCTATGTGAAAGTGAAAGCCGCTCAGTCGTGTCTGACTCTTTGCGACCTCACAGACTATACAGTCCTTGGAATTCTCCAGGCCAGAATACTGGAGTGGGTAGCCTTTCCCTTCTCCAGGGGATCTTCCCAGGGATCAAACCCAGGTCTCCCACATTGCAGGCAGATTCTTTACCAACTGAGCTATCAGGAAAGCCCTTTTTTCTATGTATTTCAACTAAAATCATCTAGTGTCATGACCCAAGCAGGCTAATAAAGCTGAATTGCAATGGATGTAGCTCTGATGCCTTGGGATGGGCTGAGCTCCAGGCCCATGCCTTGCCCTTTGCACAATGTTCAACAACAGAGAAAGAAATGCCTTCATGCTGTTCTAGTGTCCTACAAGAAAGAATCATGGAAAAAACCACATCTTTTTGAAAGAAAACGGCTTCAAGATAGACGCTCAAGAACTTGATTTGGTTGTATAAGTGACAGGTCATCACTGATTTAACATATAAATGTTCTAAATGTAAATACCATAATAATTCAAGTTTTCCAAGTAGTCACTGTTTAATAAATATGCCTATGGGCTTCCCTGGTGGCTCAGAGACGGTAAACAATCCACCTGCAGGAGACCAGGAGACCAGGTTTGATCCCTGGGTTGGGAAGATTCTCTGGAGAAGAGAATGGTTACCCACTTTAGTATTCTTGCCTGGAGAATCCCATAGACAGAGGAGCCTGGCAGGCTACAGTCCATGGGATCACAAAGAGTCATACATGACTAAATGACTAACACTTTTTCACAAATATGCCTACACTATGTACAAATTGTGCTGGATACTGTGATCTAATAGAAAAAAAATTTTTTTGAAAAGAATAGTTTCAAAAAGCTGGTAAGCGGAAACCTTGTGATCTAAATGACTGTACAATTATAGTTAGCCCAGACTCTAACATTTATTGTTGGAAGAAGGGTAGTAACTATGTCAGTATTCTAGAACACTAAATGTCTAAATTAAAATGATTAATTACCACAAGTACTTTAATGTAGATTCACTGATGTGCAGAATAACACAGTTAATCTTTCTGAACCTAGAACTATTTAGCACTAAAGTATAGGGAGTAGATCATGAAGTTAAGAGGGTTTAAAGCTAACAAAACATAAAAGCTCTGGGAAGAGAAAGAGAAGTGGACAGGTTAGTATTCAGGTCTGCTCAGATCCCTACAAAAGTTTGTGATCTTTATATACTTTAAATGGAGCAGAAAGAGTCTGAAAAGATCCATAAAGACAAAAGTGATTGAGTTACCCTGAGATAAGTTGTCAGACTGACCTGGGGAAACGTCGGCGCTCTAGCTGGTACTCTTTGAGGAACGTGTGTGTGTGTGTGTGTGTGTGGTGTGATGTGTACTTTCCCAGGTAATGACTAACAGATCTCTCCTTCTTCAGGAAGAATGAGCAGAGATTAAGTATGCTTCTGTATTCGTACAATGGACATTCATGGAATCCTGAATGAATTACTAAGAAAAACTGTGAAATTTCCATTTTCACATATGATGAAATAGAACACAAATTACTGATGAGAAAGAGAGCCTCATCTGCCTGGATGATACACATTTTAAGGTCCAT